CTTTGGTCTCATCTGTGGAGCTGAATTTCCATTCTTTCTTTTGATATTTTGAAGAGAGCTAAGTTTTGTCAGATATAATTTTCAATTATTTTTTTTGGTCTGTTAGGCATTTCATCATTCATTTACTTTTTATTTTCTTTGCCTGTACAGGTAGTTCTGCTATAACGCGATAATTGTGTTCCTGTAAAATATCGTGTTATAGAAAATTGCGTAATAGAAATAACAGGGCTTATGGAGAAAATAGCTGTTAGGTGCAGATTACTCGAAATCGAAAAAATTTAGTAGTTAGCCTAACACAAAGGATAGCACAGTCTAAATAAATGTTACATTCATATCTAATAATGAAATCATACAGTAAATGTAATACTTTACCTTGACAAAATATGAATGTAACTTGATGGGGGAGAAGGGTGATTTTGAGGTTGATAACATCGAGCTTCTCTTCAAGTGTTATATCCTTTCTTTTACGATCATCACCGGGAATTCTATCACCAGAACGCTTCTTGGCGATATTCTTCTTTACCATATTCACAGTTAATACCACAAATTTGGAGAAATAGTAAGCAAAAATCGCGTTATAGCAAACAAGCGTTCGCGTTATACAAATATCGTTCCTAATTCATAAATCGCGTTAGAGCAAATTAAAGTTATCAAAACACGCGTTATAGCAGAACTCACTGTATATAGAAATTATAGCCATAATTATGTTCCATAGGAGGAACATTCCTGATGAGGAAATACAGTATATTCTAGACTACGATTTTGATGATGAATTCATGAATGATATTAGTGATGATGCAAAATCAGATAGTGGTGATGACACTGATAGTGGTGATGAATCACAACTTGAGATTATTACAGAGGAACCAGATGATATTCTGTCAGGTGCAGAAGTTGATGGTCAAGATGACAGTGCTCCAATTGGACGGTTGAGCAATTCTCCAGTTAGTAGAGAACGATTTCCATTTACTGGAGACACGGGAGTCAAAGTAGTTTTGCAAGATCCTCAGAACCCAATAGAAATTTGTCTGTCTTTTGTAGACAGATATAATGGAACATATAGTGAGAGAGACAAACAAATATGCTGCCAAGGTCTGTGAAGAAAAGAGAAGGAGCTCGAGGGTATTACAAAGTACTACAAGAAGCTATTTTTCAGGCTAATCGAAATGAGTTTGCATAACTGCAATGTAATCTACAAAAGAAATGGAGACCAGATAAACCTCCTTGACTTCAAGTTGCTCTTGATTGAACAGATTGTGTCTGCATACAGCAAAGATGTTTATTGGATAAAGAAACCCACAAGCTCAGTGACTCTTGGGCCATGTCCTACAAGACTGAGTGGAAGACATTTCCCAATAGAGACAGAGTCAGCTGAAGGTGGTAGTACAAAGAAGGTTCAAAGAAGATGTACTTACTGTGCACTGCAAAACAAAGTGAGGAGAACTATCTACAGCTGTGATGTTTGTCAAGTTGCACTGTGTATTACTCCATGTTTTACCACACATCAGAAAGCCTTCCAACGTAGGAGAGTGACAGCAGTGAATGAACAAATGCCATAAGAAGCAACAGTAAGGCAACAATATAGTAAGGGAGGGTGGGAGGGTAACCACATCCAGGTCACAAATTCTGGACACAGCTTTGGCTGAGGGTGTGAGTGACTCCACGTACCTTACTTATACGAATATAAATAATAGCCACTTACAAAATTCACGTTTTAATATTAAAAGCATCTTTGCTATGTTAATGAAATATAGCAACTGTTCCATATTGCGGTAGAGTCTATATATAGATGGTGTTAAAATTTCACAAAATGCGGTGTAACTTTATTTATGTTCCACTCCAGTGGTCGGCGGCATCTATATAATAACGATTTCTAAATTTGGCGCTTCTTCAGTCACTGCTGCAGCCGGCTAAGGGTTAACTCTCATTTGTCTGTCTGTTCAGAAGTTGCATACAAGGGTAGGTGTTATTGGGATATCTTGGGGAGGTTGAAGTGTGTGCATATTTTTTATTTTAGTCCGTTGTGCCAGACTGTGTCGAAAGCTTTTTGCAAGTCTTTGGTGATGAGTGCCGCTTTGTACGGTCCCTTGTTCATGTGGAGGTAGTTTGTGATTAGGTTCAATGCATCCTGTGTGGAGTGTTGTGCCTTAAAGCCAAACTGTTTGTGTGAAAGCAGTTCTTCATCTTCAAGGTGGTACTACTTAACTCTAGACACACCTTAGATCCAACTAACAATGGGATGCATTACCTGGGTACAGTACTGTGCCTCAGGGCAGGGAAATAAACCCTCTCCATAGCAACAATGACACAACAGCCGGGGCCTGGGGGCTTCTAACAGGTGTCTTCTGATATGTTGTTCATTTATATTGATAGCATCTTAATTATTCAAGTACTGTATGTGTACATGTTGTATTGTGTAGGGTATTATTATTGTTACTTTTCATATATTACATGGGTTAGGTTCCAAGGAATGGCACATTAAAACCACAAATAGCAACTTATACCACCTCAGTTCTACTGTATTCCTATACTGTGTATAAGAAACTTAAGTCACCAATACTACTCTCCTTCATATGTGGAAGTTTGGAGCTTGCAGAAGTGTACTGTACAGTAGGATGAAATCTGGTTATTGAAGCATAGGGAAATCATCAGGATCACTGTTGGAAGAGGGTGATGCAGTGGTGGGTGGTGGAGGGTGGGTGGTGGGTGGTGGGTGTGGTGGGGGTGGTGGGGCAGGTGGTGGAGTGTGCGTGAGACAGTGGCAGCAGCTGACCGGAATCAGCTGGGCAACTGGTGCTCTTGAAAACTATCGTGAGTTGGTGGTTGTTTCGCTACGGCTTTGGTCTCATTTCCTCCTAGATAACTAGCACTGACACTAGGCAGTGTTTTAAGGGCCATTTCACACAGAAAAACTGAAGTTTTGAGTACAACACAAGAGATGGTGCATCGCAGGCAATGGTTGAGTGTAAACAAAGGGAGAGGAGACGCCGCGAAGTTAAAATCGTGAATCACAAACCAGCGAACTGCAAGAGTTTACTGTACAGCAATAAGGGAAAGTAAAATTTTTTTCCATTAATTCACCAGTCAGACAATCCATCTCTTCATTTTTCTTTTTAATGGTATGTCTATAATCAGTAAGTCAATAAAATCTTATCAACACATCATTCCTGCTGCATGATGTAGCAACACACATCACACTTATCATTCACATCCTTCATTCCTTAAATGTTTAATGCAGTGCAATTCCCCGTCTTCTCATATCTTAGCATTAAGGTATAGTATAACCTATAACTCTTAGTGGGGTATGCTATAATGAATCTAA